GGGCCGTGCGACGCGGGGATTAGTGCGCTTTCATTGCGCGTGGGTTTTGTTGTGGTGTTGCCATCCGCGCCTCGCAGGCGCCGGTGGCGTTGACCGCCTGCCATGCGGCGGTTGACGGCTCGTTTTCCTTGACCCTGGTTGGAACACGGTGGCTACAGGATCCTGCGATGCCGCAGGCGGAGTAACAAATCATCATCAATCGCAATATCAAAAATAAGTGGAGTGCAATTTAACTGAAGCATGGCATTTGCTTAGCATCACCACCACATGCATCGGCTGATTCGCACCACTGGCGGCCAAGGAGAGAACAGGGGTGTGTTACAACCGCATGATGGCGCTCAACTGCAAGCAATGCCGGCCCGGTCTTGCACGCTGCGGTCCTTCCCGCCACAGACCAGTGCTGGTGCCTGCTGGGGGTCACCGCGCTGCAGGCGGGCTGCTGGAGGCGCTCCCACCAGATGCACTCTGGCTGCCGCTACTGTTGGGCGCGGCGCGGCCCCCAACGCCGCCCGCACCGCTGCCCGCACCGCCACCGCCACCGCCACCGCCACCGCCACCGCCACCGCCACCGCCACCACCACCGCCACCGCCACCGCTGCTGCTGCTGCTGCTGCTGCTGCTGCTGCTGCTGCTGCTGCTGCTGCTGCTGCTGCTGGGACCCCTGCCGGCTGCTGCGTGGCCGTCGTCGTCCGTGGGGTCGTCGCTGGCCAGCGGCAGCGCAGCGGCCTCCAGCCCCGTGGCGCCTGCGGCGACGGTGCGCGCACCACGGCCGCCTGCTGCTGCCCTGCCGGCGTGTGCGGCCTGGTCGTCGTCCCAGGCCGCCCCCTCGTCCGCCCCCGCGCTGTCCTCCCCCTTGAGCACGTTGTCGTAGTAGGCAGTCAGCCCGCGGTCGTGGGCCAGGCTCTGGCTAGGGGACCTGCGCATGCGGGTGGGGGAATGAGGGGGAGGCGGAGAGCTGGTTTGAACAGGGGCCTTGAATGCCCGGGTGGGGCGTGCGGGGACGCTGTCTGCGCCAAGAGACTGGGGTTGACGCCGGGCCCCCCGGTGTGCGCTCCCCAGCCCGCCATCCCCCACTGGCCTGAAGTAGGCGTAGGGTGTGTAGCGCATCAAGTTGGACACGCGGCTGGTGTACACGTCTGGGGGGAGGGGCGCGTTGGGGCACGCAGTGTTGGGTGAGTCTCAGCAGCTGTTGCGAATGAGCGGGCGCGGAAAAACAGGCCTGCTGAGCTGAATGCCTTGTGTACAGGTGGAAGCAGTGCACACGCCGTCCCCCCAAACTCCCCCGCACCCGCGTATTTTTCTATCTGGCGGCACAGCTGGCTCTTGTCGTTGAGGCCAGCACGCGAAAGGAAGCCCCACCTGGATGAGGGCAAGGGGTTTGGGGCATGCCGTGGGTTTCAGCACCAAGCAGCGTTTCACAACTCCCCACCCAACCGCACAACCCCCCCCCCCTTACCTCCTGTTGAAGTGGTGCCCGTCCGTCTCCAGCATGGGGCCAATCTTCTCATCCAGCCGCTCCATCACAAACAGCAGCTGGGGTATGGAAGGGGAGGGCAGGTGTTTGGGGGAGCAGGGAGACTCAGCGGCGGCAGCTGCCGGGCTGGGGCACGCTCAGGCGTGCATGGACAGTGCGCGGGATTGCCCTTGCCCCACGCCCCCACGCCCCCTTGGGCCCCACCCCACCCCCACCCCTCCCGCACGCGCCTGCGCCAGGGTCTCGTTGACCGCGTCCTCGTCGCCAAAGCCCGCAAAGTCAAAGTCCCCCAGGCTGTCAAAGGAGGCGCCGATGAGGGACCGCACCGACGCCGCGGCGGAGGAGGAGGCGGGGGAGCTGGGCGCGGGGGAGGCGCGGGGGGCGCGGGGCGCGCCCGACCCGCCCCCCATGCCGGGGCTGCGGCCCGAGATGTGGCGCTGCCGTGCCAGGCGCAGGTGGTCAAACAGCGACCCCACCAGGTCCTGGGGGGGTGGGGGTGGGGGGGTTGCCGGCCCACGTGGGGCTTCAGGGTTCGATGGAGGCAGGCGGAGCGGCACCCACAGTCCGGTTTGGCCGCTGATTGCGGCGGCCCCAGCTTTCAACAGCAGGCGCGCCCCGCCCCCCTTCTCCCCCCCCCCCCCCCTCACCTTTTTGGCCATGAGCTCCTTGAGGCGTGCGCGGTGCGGCCTGCCCCTTGCCAGCGCGTCCACCTCCTCCTCCAGCTCCCTCAGGATGAGGGCGGTGCGCCAGCGGAAGTTGATCTTGGCCAGCGCGGCGTCCGTGTAGATGTGATCTGGGGGGGCAGGGGTTGAGGAGGGGTTTGCAGCAGCGGGGCTTTGGCAGGAGCGCGCCTGTCTGCTTAAGCGGCAGACGAGGGGCTTGGAGTTTGGGCTGCTTGCATCACCACACACGGGGCCATGGCGGAAAAGCCCTCGTCGACCCAACAATCCAACTGCGAGCGCCTCGCCAGGTTTGCGGCCCATGCGTCTCACCCCCTCACCCCCACCCCCTCACCCCCTCACCTCCCACGTAGAGGATGTCGTCGCCCTCCACACCCAGGGCCTTCTCAACCATGCGCGCACTGGATTGGGCAGGAGGGTTTTGGGTCAAGGAACGAAGGCGGCAACTGGGGGCTGAGTGTACAAGCGCGCAGGCCACAAGCGCAGCACGCACACAACCCTTGGGCGCCGCCTCCAAACCAGCGCTCTTCCACCCCCTGTGCCAACCCCCCTCCCCTCACCTTCCGCCACAGTAGAGGCCGCCCCTCTTTGCCGTGAGCACGGGCCGCATGAGGCCGTCCTCTGTGACTATTTCGTAGAGGCTCATGTTGTAGCTGAAAAAGTCGGGCTTGCGGGACGCCACGATGACCATGTCAAACAGGTCGCGCCAGGTCATGCCGCTGGGCAGGAAGCGGTCGTAGGCGTAGCTCATCAGGGTGGAGGTGTACCTGGGGGGGGGGGCGCGGGGTAGGCGCGCGCTGAGGGGCTGGCTGGGCTGAGGGCTTGCGCGGGGGGCCTGGCGTGTGTGTGGGTGGCCGCAGCGCCACTCCTCCTGCTGCTGCTGCAGGCGTCCAACCCCAGCCTGCTGCCCCGGCCCCAGCCGCCGCCGCCCGCCCGCCCCTCCCCCCCCCCCCCCCCCCTCACTGGTAGTCTGAGTTTGTGACGAGCAGCAGCATCTTGCCGCTGTCCCGCTGGTCCAGCAGTGTGCGCGCCATGTCTGGGTCCAGCTCCACAAAGCGCGCGGGGTCCTTTATGATCTCCCCCTTGAGCTTGCCCTCCACGTGGGTGCGGTACAGCGCCTTGGCCACGATGCGGTACAGGCCCTGGTACGTCAGCTGCCCGCCACCGGAGCCAAAGCCAAAGGCGCCCTGGTCCAGGCGGTCCACCAGCTGGAGGGGGGAGTTGTGTGCGTGTGAGGGGGGGGGGTCGGGAGGTGGTTGAAGGAGTGCCGATGCTGCACATCAGGGGGCAGGGAGCCGCGGCGCAGGCACAGTTCAGCAAAGTCGACAGCCGCGGGGCGCAGCTTGCTGCGCCGCCGGCAGAAGCGCGCCGCCCGATTCCTTCCCGAGCCCTGCTTTGATCCCCACCCTCCCGCCCCGCCTCCCCACCTGGCTGAACAGCACCGCCTCGCTGATTGAGAAGAGTGTGTTGAGGAAGACCCAGCGCCCCTCGTTGCGCAGGTTGACCACCTCGCGGCCGTACTGCTCGCGGATCTCCTGCCACCCCATCATGCGCGTGCCATGCATGGCGCGCTTCACCAGCCTGGGCGGCGGGAGTTTGGCGCCGGGGGCTCAGGGACATGCCAGCAAGGCAGGCTCAGCACACGCCAGTGCAGGCAGCAGCTGCCGCCCTCCACTGGCAACCTGGCAACGCAGAGCGGCCCCAACCTGGCCCCAACCTCACCCGAATCTGTCGACCTTGATGAGGTTGCCGAGCTCCTTGTCCATTATCAAACTGGGCGGGGGTTGGGGGGCAGCGGCGTTTGGACAGGAGGGAAATGGCCAACGGCAGATGGTGGGGCCCGGCGTAATCTGCAGGGGTAGCCGGCCAGCACTGTGGAGCTGTGAGTTGCACGTCAAAGCCGCCAACAGGGCTGCCGGTGGCAAGGTGGCGCACGGGCGCACACGCCCCCACCCTTCCCCCCCACCCCGCCCACCCGCGTATGACGAGGCTGCTGTCAAAGCGCAGGCCGTCCACCGGCACTCCCTGCTGGCGCAGCGCCTCCACCCCGTACTCGTAGGCGCGCCCCTCCCAGGCCTCGACGTCGTAGTGGATCAGCGTCTGGGGGGTGGGGGGCGGGGGTGGGGGTCTCCAGGGCGGGCGCGCTTGCGGGAGCAGCAGCTCCCAACTCTCCAGGGCAGGCGGGGCCAGCAGGCGCTTGGCAGCAAGAGCTTGCTGCCCTTTGCGCTTTGCTTTGCGTGCTGTGCGAGCGCAGCCCCTCAACCCCCACCCCCCCCAACCCCGCTCACGTAGTCCAGGTCGTATCCGATGCACTTTATGGAGCGCAGGTTGAGGGTGCGGCTGCAGTAC